GAATGGAGCGAGGCCCAAACAGTAACTAATCTTGTTAATAGAGAGATTCAGAAATACGCAGAGACCTTTCTGTACATTCCTAAGCTGATCAGAAGGGTAATCTGGCTCAGCGATTCCGAAGATTGACTTCAGGACACTCTAGGCTGCTCCCACGAGAGTGGGAATCAACTTAGGGAAATGTGCAAAAACTCCACAACAAATCATTTTCGTTTTTAAAAACCCGAGTGTTTTAAAACTGTTTCTAAAAAATGAGTGACTAAGAGATGTCTTGTTCCCCACTCACTTCTACTCTCGTAGGCAGTGGGAGAGCTGGAGGAGCCTGTTACAAACCTCAGCTCGTGAGCATCTCCCAGCTCAGTCTTTTAAGAAGGTGATTGAGAGGAAGGCGGTATTGAGAAAACAAAGCATCCCCTTGGTGAAGCCAAGCCTCAAAGTCACCTCTCCGGCCCGGGCAGGCCCCAGACCCTCGTTTTCTTCTCTGGCGTCCAACTCCAAGGATTGGCCCAATTCCCTTTAACTGTAGCTCCCACTCAGCCCACCGCCCCAAGAAAGCAGGGTCCACGCCTCCCTGGCACAGTTTCCCCTCCGCCACCCAAGGGAAGCAAATGAGTCTTTTTCATTGTAATGAGCTGTATTTCTCTCACTGTGGAACAACAGGGGCTAGATGAATTAATAAATATGCTCAGCTTTTCCTTCTTGATTTGTGAATTCTCTCTGCATTTTGGCTCTCATCCTACCACTTGTCACAAGCGGCACAATTAATGTTTTTTTTCTGCAATGAACGTTTTTCCCCAATTAGCTTTTTTTCTTTCTTTTTTGGGTGCTGGGATTACAGGCATGAGCCACCACGCCCAGCCGAGCTTTTTTTCTTAATATGCTGTTTTGCTGAATTGAGTTTTAGTTGCTAGTAACAGAAACCAACTGTGGAAAGCTTTAGTCAATGACAATGAAAACGACAGCAGCAAAAGAAAAGATCAGACGGTTGTTACCTCATGAGATCTACTTTAGATTAGTGTTGTCTTGCTCCCCTCCAAGAATTCACTCAGGAATTTGGTCAAGTCATTTCTAGAACAGTATGAGACGAGAAGGATCTTTACAGCCCCGAGTCTTCCCATCTGAGATCGAGGTGTTGCATTCCAAGTCTCTCTCATTGAGAACAATTTTTACACGTTATACTGGGGTTTAAAAGGCTCAAGCCACTTGAGGTGGGACGTTTTCCTAATGAAATACCTGGACAAGGGTGCATTTGTGTACACTAAGGAAAATGCTGGAAATACCCTAAACAGCAAGAATAGGAGATTGGTACCCCCACAGTTACAGACATTCAAAATCTAGAACTGTATCATTGTAACTTATCAGTGGTAAAGCCATACAGGTATTGATCGACTTATGACCTATGCAACTTACGACCATTCGACTTTACGACCACAATCGCTAGCCACGACTGCTCCGCGTCTGGCAACTCCTGACCTCAGATGATCCACCTGCCTCGGCCTCCCAAAGTGCTGGGATTACAGGCGTGAGCCACCGTGTGCAGCCCTCTATACACATTTCTCATTCACTTCACCTGGGCCAGTTCTCTCTGCAAATAAGGCAACGAATCTGGAGAAGCAGCTCCTACAGAACAATTTACACCAAGGTGAACGGATACTTCCATTTTCATACTAAAAAAAGTTAACACTGTTGCTAAACTCCAGACAATGTGGGAAGGTTTTAAACCACTCTCTGGGTCAGTCCTCCATTTAGCCTTGGGAGGTAGGAGCTGGTTATTTTATTTTTGAGGTGGATAAAGTCTCGCTGAGTGCAGTGGCTAAATCTTGGCTCACTGCAACCTCCGCCTGCCAGGTTCAAGTTATTCTCTTGCCTCAGCCTCCCTAGTAGCGGTGACTACAGGTGTGCGCCACCACACCTGGCTAATTTTTGTATTTTTAGTAGAGATGGGGGTTTCACCGTGTTGGCCAGGCTGGTCTCGAACTCCTGATCTCAGGTGATCTGCTCACCTCAGCCTCCCAAAGTGCTGGAGCTGGTTATTTTATGAAGACTGTGGTGCACTTGTGTGCTCCACCATTAGCTTTTCCCCGCCTCCCGCCTCCCTCCTTCCAAGCCGAGGTGGGGCGGGCACTATCAGTGCATGCAGTTTTCTCTCTTCAAGATAAACACGCTGCTTGTCATTTTGAAAGGTATGTTACAGAAATATAAGTGAGCTACTGCTAAATTTTTTAAATGGTCCAAAGACAAATTATTCAACAAAATGAACAAATTGTATAATTGCTATGTGTATCTTTCAGAATCATAACAAAATAATTTATTGAAACTCAACAGATAAAATGCAGTTCCTCAGAATTTTTTCTTTTTGTTCTGAGGTAGGGCTTACTGCAGTCTTGACTGCTCAGGCTCAGGTGATCCTCCCACCTCAGCCTCCCAAGTAGCTGGGACTCCAGGCGCACACCACCATGTTAGGCTACTTTTTGTACTTTTTGCAGACATGGGGTTTCACCATGTTGCCCAGGCTGGTCTTGAATTCCTGGGGCTCAAGGGATCCGCTAGACTCAACCTCCCAAAGTGCTGGAATTACAGGTGTGAACCACCACACCTGGCCTCAGAATGTTATTAATTTAAAAGTTATCCTGAGTGAGTCGGCAGTTTTGATAAGCTTCTTTCCCCTTCCTAGGCAGATTTTGTGCACATAATAAATGTTGGCTTTACTAAAAATGTCTATGCCTGGTTTTGCGTTTCTTTTAGCCCATCTTACAGAAATGTTCAGACTCTACTGTCTTTGTTGTAAAAGGAGCATATTTTATTTTTTACTTATTGTTTCTTCTTAGCGGTTTATTTTTTAAAGACAGGAAAATGATCAGCTTGCATTCTGAATCAGACCATTTATAAACGATAGCTCTTCTTTGGGGCAGACAATGACATTTTAGCTTATATTTAAGGGGAAACACATTCAAATGCTATTTGGACTCAAATTTCTAAGAAAGAAAAGAAGGAACTGGTAAACTCTGAAGATAGAGTCTCAATTCCCTTGCTGAGTGACGCGGTCAAGGAGTACCGATTGCCTGCAGGGGGCCAGAAAAGGCTGCGCGGTGCTCCCCTCTCAGGGCTCGGGCCTGTCAGTCAACCTGGGCCCTGGCTAGGCGCAGCGGGGGGCTCTTGCTGTAAAGTGACGGACAGTGGGTCCAGCAAACCCACTTCAGCCCACAGGGGGTACTTGAACTTGTAAATACCCCAGGCCTTTGGAAACAACCTTCAACCTTGAAAGGAGAAATTCCCAGTGGGAACTGATGCAAACTCTGGTCAGTTACGCAAAAAGGTTGAGGGTAAACCATAATCTTGGGGCTATTTTTGCTTTCAGAAAGAATCCCCTGAGTAGAGTAGAAGACCAGCGAGGCTCAGTTCGCTGCTTGCTCAGAGCCGCTCAGGTGCAAGGGCGTCATCTCCCGGAATCGCTGTTCTCCGGCGTCCGACCCTCCGGGGCGCGCAGGTGCCTGGGTCCCGGGAGAGTCCTGGGCCGGCACCAGGCCCTTCCGATCCTGGCGGAGTCACTGGAGGACCAGGCGACCAGGACAGCGGGTCAGGCCAGTGCGGTGTGACTCCGGGGCTGGAGAGCCTTCGCAGTTTACACCTGTACTCAGCCCACACCTCCCACGGCTGTTTTGGATGCGGTGCTCTCCTGCCCCTCAGCTTGCCCAGAGGCACGTGGGCCTGAAGCCTTGTCCCTAGCGGCCGCGCCCGCCTGGCTGTGGTCACCTTGCGGCCGCGAGGGCCTACCACCCGCTGGCACCAGGTGGACGCGCTGTCAAGATCGGGGAAAGGAAGGAAGGAAGGAGGCTAGAGGGACACAGAGCTGGTGGCCTCCGCAGCCTCTCACCTGCGACGGGCGCGCACGCACCACCGCGCCTATGCGCATAGACTTTCCCCAAATATTGGCTCACGACGCCTCCTACCCCAAAGTCAAGGGCTTCCTGTGGCAAATCCCCGCACGCCCTCCTCCTCTCGGCCAGGCCGCGGCGCCTGGACAGATGGGGAAGAGGACAAGGCCCGGATGGAGGGGAGCTGGGCCTGAACTGCGGCTGTCGCCCGCGGCCCTGCTCTTTTGGGCAGCCAGCCGCGGGGTCAACGCCCGGTCGCAAACTCCGGGGGTGAATCCCGCAGATCCCAGCACGAGACACAGGCCGGGCGTGGTGGTGGGGGGCTCCTCGCCGCTGGGGCTCCACCGATCCGTTCCCAGCCAGAGGCTCCCCCTGAGGTTCCGGGACACCCTAATCCCAAGCCCAGGGTCCCATCAACCCGCAAGCCACAGCCGGCCCGGGTTCCGCGTGTCTGGGGGACTCTGAGGATCGTCCTCCCCTCAGGGCTGGGACTCCCCCACGGCAGCGGACAGCCCCGCAGCGCTCCCTGGCCCCGGTCCCAGGTGAACGGATCCACTCCCGCGCCGGCCTCCTCCGCCCGCCTAGCGAGCGCCCCGGGGATTCCCCGGCCCCAAATCGGCCGCTGCCGGGTGGAGTCCGCCCCAGAGTCCGGGATCCCCCCAAGGTGAGAAAACCCGCTAGGCGCCTCCTAAGCGGCGGGAGAAACTGGCCCCATCACGGCCCGACGCCCTCAGCGGGGGCCGGCTCCAGACGTCCGAGATTCCCGAAGCTGGAGGCCGGTTCCGCCCCCGACGCTCCCCCGCCGCCACATCCGCCCCCATCCCGCGGGTCGCCGAAGTTGGGGTGCTGGGCCGCCTGCCACCCGCGACTCGGGTTCCGCTTCTTTAGAGATTTTCCTTCTGCTTGTCTTGCGCGAGCTGTCCCCAGGTCTGGGGTAACGCTGCCAGGCGCCCCGTGCCGGCGCTTGGGAGAGCAGACTGCGCCTGCCTGACTCTCAACTCTGGCCAGGAGCAGGCCCCCCGGGAGGCCCCGGAGGAGGCCCCGGGGGAGGGCGTGTCGCCGCGCCCCGCCCCGCCCCGCCCCGCCCCGCGCCGCCTCGGAAAGCCCCCGCGGTCCCGCCCACCCCAGGGACTCGCTCAGCCTCCGCTGACTTTTTTCGCTGAGCGCAGCCGCCTGGCGCCGGTTTCCGCCAGGCTGTAGCGCGCGGGCCACGGCTTCTCTGGGGACCCAGCAGCGTGAAGTGGGGACCTCGGCGCGCGCCCAGCTCCCGGCTCTCCCGGCCCGCGCCCCGGCCCCCGGCCCGCGCCCCGGCCGCCGGCATGGTGCTGCTGGCCGGGACCGGGCCGGAGGGCGGCGGGGCGCGCTGCATGACCCCGCCACCGCCGTCCCCACCCCGGGGCGCGCAGGTCGAGGAGGACCACACTGACTACGAAGAGTTCGAGGACTTCTCGAGTCTGCCTGACACCCGCAGCATCGCCTCGGACGACTCTTTCTACCCTTTCGAGGACGAGGAGGAGCAAGTCGTCGAGAGCGCAGAGAGCGTCCCGGAGGGCGTCCCGGAGGCGGCGAGCCTCCTGCGCGCCGCCTGCGCCAACGACGTGGGGCTGCTGCGGGCACTGGTGCGGCGCGGGGTGAGCGTCGAGGAGGCGCAGGAGACAGACCGCAACGGCCGGGTAAGCGGACGGCCCCGCAGATCTGAGTCCCCCCGCTGCCCCTGCTCACCTCCTCCCCACCACATCCTCGCTCCTCGCAGGTCCTGGCTCTGGACTGGTCCCTCGGTCACTCTGCCGCGCCCTGGAGCGGCTTTTCCTGGCTGTTTGGGAGCGCGGTGCGCGGGGAGCCCTGGGTGGCCGCCCGGTCCCAGGCTGTGGGACGCGGTGCGAGGAGGGGGCAGTTTAAAATGCCCGATGTGGCAGCGCGGCAGGAAACGCTGCCAGTCCGGCATCCTCACCGCGTCCCCTCCTCGTTTATTGGCCCCCAGGGACCTCCTGACTCAGAATTCGCGCTGGCGGCTCCCGCTGCAATCCAGGATTGGCTTCTTGTGGGGGTCTCTTCAACCCGGTCCCCTCCTGACCGTTACCTTTCCCTGGGCCCCTGGCTGCGGACCATTCCTCCTGGCCTGCAGGCGACAATCCCTCCTGCCAGCTCCCCATTTGTCCCCTGGGCCGCCGCCCTTGCCCTAACACGCTGGGGCACAGATGGGCTCCTCGAGCCGCGATGATTTGGCAGCAACAGTTTCCTCCCTCGCCACGACTGCTTGGTCCCCTGCCCACCTGCACTGAGCCTTGCGGCATGAGCGCCGCGACCAGCCAACCTTATCTCTGGCTCTTCTGTCTGCACGGTCACCTCCGCGAGCCAGTGCCAGCCAGGGCTCCCCGAGGCAGAGCCTGGGAGAGCAGCAGAGCCGCGGGCATCCACTCGGGTAGGGCAGGCCGCGTGGAGGGAGGCACAGACTATCCATCGGTTATGACATGACTCTGAGAAAGCAAGAGTTGTTTAGAAAAGGAAAGAAAAAGTTGGCCTAAGAAGGCTTGAGAAGGACTGGCTGGTGGAACACACCCCACCGAGCAAGCGCTTCGAGGGGAAACTGCAGTGTCCACGGGGGCCAAGTCCCCATTAGTCTGTGCTCAGTGGGCAAATGGCAGCGTTCTCACCTGATTTTTATCCTCCCCAAGGTCCGCGGTATCTGCAGAGGCAGCCTAGCACGAAAGCAAATGCTTTGCTCAGGAGCCTGCAGCTGACAGAAAACATATGCTTTGACTTGGGAACCCGGGTCACCTTGTGACTTTGGCTTATCCTGCAGTGGGTGGGGCAGGTGGTTTGCCCCGACTGTGATCTGGGCTGCACTTAGATGAATGGGAAGCCCTCGAATGTCACACTTTCCTCTTGTACTACCTTGCCCCTGTGATTCAGTTACCTCCCCCTGGGTCCCTCTCACAACACGTGGGAATTCAAGATGAGATTTGGGTGGGGACACAGCCAAGCCATGTCACATAGCATGTGAACTTGGAGGAAGGGTCTGTGCTTGTCACATGTTAGGCAGTGAGACCTGAGGTGGGGTCCCTGTGGGTAGCATCACCTGGAGCCCTTCTTCTTGCAGTACCCCCTCCCCAAGCCCAGGCGGCAGATGCCCTGGCTGGCATGTGATTAGGGCTTGGAGCCCCTCCCGAGGTCCTAGGGGCTGTTTCTTGAGTCCTACTTTCGGTTGAACTGTGAGTTTTCAGGCCCAGATGTGTGTATCAGAAACCTTGCTTTGTGAAAGCTGGTATGGGGGCTAGCTTTAAAGGAACCCCCACCAAGCTCAAGTTCATAAAGGGATCAGTGGGGTAGGTCTCTCCCCCTGTCCTGGGCAGCCTGGTGTTCTCCAGTGGGCTGGAATGGGCACAGGAGGGGCCTGGCTTGCCCAATTCCCACTCTAGGGCTCCACTGGCTCAGCTTTGTATGATGTTTTCTTTAGGGGCAAAACATAAATGTTTGTAAACAGCAGAGGGGCAGAGGAGGGCTGTGGCACAGGAGGCTGGCCCCAGCCTCTCAGCAGGTTTGTGCTCGGTTTCGTGGTCTGTAACACAGGAATAACAGCAGCCGCTGCCTCCTAGGATGTGAGCGCAAGCTGGCTTAGTGCACACAGGGCTCTGAGAAGGCCTGGCCCAGGCCTGCGTGTGCGGTCTTGTCTAGTTTCTCAGTCACCTGCCTTCTTCTCTTGGCTTAGAAGAGAGCATCTTCCACTTTTAGTTTTGTTTTGTCGTCTGCCAGGCAAGGCTTTTTCTCTCTCTGCTTTTCTTCCCCCATGATTACAGCAGAAATGAAGACTTTTTTGTTTCTCTGTGTCACATAAAATAATGATGTAGCCCGGACACAGCCTGCTAACTTCAAGACCCCTGGATTCTTTCATCTTTGGATCGGACTGAGCACGGCCTGTGTTCTATTCTCTGGGGGGCCAGAGCGGGGAGCGAGGCAGGAGCCTCCATTCTTTTCATTAGCATCCCAAGGCTGTTGACCAAACAGCCTCTATATTCCTGAAAAATAGCTGAAAGAATCAAGTGTGGCAAAACCCAAATGCCCTGCTCTGTGGTAAATGGAGTGAGTCATTGCCAAAGTGTTTATCGAAGACCTACTGTGCTCCTCCTGCTAGGTACTCCAGCAGACTCAAAGCTGAATCCAGCAGTCCCTGCCTTTGAGAGTCCTAGCGTTTTTTTGTTTGTTGGTTTGTTTGTTTTTTTTGAGATGGAGTCTTTCTGTTGCCCAGGCTGGAGTGCAATGGCGTGATCTTGGCTCACTTCAACTTCTGTTTCCTGGATTCAAGTGATTCTCCTGCTTCAGCTGAGACTATAGGCGTGTGCCACAATGCCTGGCAGATTTTTTTGTGTTTTTAGTAGAGTCGGAGTTTCACCATGTTAGCCAGGATGGTCTCGATCTCCTGACCTCATGATTTGCACGCCTCGGCCTCCCAAAGTCCTGTGTTTACAGGTGTGAGACCTAGGAAATTGGGAAGCAGACTGCTTTCTGCAGGACGGTGTCCAGCCTCCTCAATGGCAGCAGGCTACCCTCTCACGGCCTGCAGGATCCTGTTTTAAGGGCACCTTCCCGGGGAGGCTTCTGTCTCCCCTTGTTCAAGCCTACAGAACCTGGAGCCGAGCAAGCAGAATGCAAGCATTCAGATATTGAGGGCTGAAGTTATAAGTAGGATGGTCATTCAGAGAGCAGGTGACGTTTGAGCAGAGAAGGTATCTGGGGGAAACAGCAGTTAGAAGGAACTGCATGTGCAAAGACCCTGGGGCAGGAACCTCGCCGAGGCCTGGTCTCCAAGCTTGTCATGATTATGACAGTGCAAACCTTAAAGAAGGCCCGGGAGCTTTGGTGCAGTGGAGGGGTGATTGCATTAATGACAGAATGCCAGCTCATGGGTACCACCCATAGCCGGCTTTCCAGGAGGAAAGTATCTCTAAAGAAGTCTAAACTTTTCTGGGACGTGCTTGTTGAGCTGTTCATCTCTGGGCATTTAAGAAGGGAGCTTTGCCTGAGCTAACAGGCTTTCCATTTGGTCTGGGTGACTAAGGGTCAGATGTGTTTTGTTTAAGAAAATGCATTCTCTCCTGCCTCCTGAGATTGGTAGAATGTTGGATGCGGCTCAGCACACCATTTTCTTTCTCAAATATTTATTGCTCTAAAAGCATTGTGTGATTTAATATGCAACATGTAAATATTTGTCAAATAATTGCTCTGTAATATTCAAAGGGTGCTCCTGATGCCTCCTGGATTCATGGTTGTTCCGTTCCCTCTGACTTGAGGCAGTGAAAGCTACCATAATTCTTTTTCTTAATCCTTCTCTTGCACTCATTGTCACCTGAAGTTCACCTTTATGGCCTTGGCAGCTCTTGAAATGACTGTGAAAACAAAGAAAGTGTTTCAGCTGTTTTAATTGTCGCAGAAGGGCAGTTTAAATGTCAGGCAGCTCTTGGACTGAATTAGGCCCAAATATGTGCCACATTTAAAATACTGTACTCCTGTCTTGATGGGATTCTGCTTCTGCGTGTTTATGTTTGTTGGTTTGGTTGGTTGTTTGTTTTTTGAGATTGAGTTTTGCTCTGTCGCCAGGCTGGAGTCCAGTTGCAAGAACTCTGCTCACTGCAACCTTCGCCGCCCGGATTCAAGTGATTCTCCTGCCTCAGCCTCCTGAGTAGCTGGGACTACAGGCACTCACCACCACGCCTGGCTAATTTTTGTATTCTTAGTAGAGATGGGGTTTCACCATGTTGTCCAGGATGGTCTCTATCTCCTGACCTCGTGATCCACTCTCCTCGGCCTCCCAAAGTGCTGGGATTACTGGTGTGAGCCACCAAGCCTGGTCCCCATGTGTTTTTGATGTAAGTGTGGCCCCAGTCATCTGTGGCCGCAATCATGCTGCCTAACAAATAACTACAAAACCTCACGGGTGTTTGCAACTGTAAATGTTTTGCTGGGCTGGCCTGGCTCAGCTGATCGAGGCTGGGTTTGCTCATTCATCTGCATTCAGCTGCGAATGGCTGGAGCAAAACGGTCTTAACTGCGACGACTCATTGCTGCTCCATTTGGCCTCTCATCCTCCAGCGGGCTGGCCTGGCTTGTTTTCCATGGCAGGGGCAGGGTTCCAGGAAAGCAGGCTGAGCAAATAGGGCCTCGTGATGCTTCAGCTTGGCTGAGGCTCAGCGTCACTTCTGCTGTAGCCAGCCACAAGGCCAAGCGGAAGCGGTTACACCTGCTTCTTCCTGGGCTTCCCGGCCTGTGCCTCTCCCAGCTGGAATGTCCCTTGCCAGAGGTGTGGGTCTTAACTCAGGAGCCAGATAAGCATCCCAGAAACAGGCCAGAGAGAAATGCTTCATTCTTCAATCCCATCCCATCAGATGCCTCCTTATGATCTGAGTGTCTTCAGACCCGACGTACATATGCCTCTGGAAGCATAGGTTGCAGTTTCTCTGTTTCTTTGAAATTGCTCTCAAATACCACACTCCAATCCAGTCAGTTGCCACTCAGCCAACTCTGACATGGGATTTTACTTCCACCTCAATTTCTGTATCTTTGACAAGTAGAAATAAGTAAAATCCACCCTCAACTGTCCTTTATATTTTATTACTTTTTTTGAGATGGAGTGTCAATCTGTCGCCCAGGCTGGAGTGCAGTGTTACAATCTCGGCTC